GTCGCGAGCATCCAATCCAAGACCGCAGTCTGGGCTCCGAAGAATCTCCAGGTCAAGGAGCTTGAAATGCTCCTCTGTCGAAGGTGTGATGCGTACCCGTCATCTCTTCAGAATGTCAAATAGCCTCAAAAACCGTGCATTGGAGCGGTAGCATGGTGCGGTAAGCAAAACATCATATTGCCGAAACTCCAATCAGAACGGGGAGCTCCAGCCCGTGTAATCAAACGAATGCGGTATGAAGCCCAGGTCTACGTGTGATCGGCCGACAGACGGACAAACAGACAGACGGCCAAGACACACAGACGACCGCCTCCAGGGGTGCCGGAGGTCTCCAGGAGCCGCCCCCGAGGCCCCCAAAGCTCCGAAAGTGGCAACACAGATGCCTATGGTCAGCAGCGAGGCGGACGCCAACGCGCTCGGAAAGCCAGCGGGCCGCGCCGGGCTAAGGGCGCAATCGACACACACACACACACACTTGATCCTCCATCCTCGGCGACGGCGAGGACAGACAACCACCCGGCCATCCAGTCAGAGATTTGGACGCCCGAAATAGCTATGGACGAAAGCTGGGGACGATGCCCAACCACAAGTGTTGTCCAAAACCGACAGCGGCCGCTGTTGGGCAAGCGGCCTCCTGTCTCAAATGGACACTGTCCGCGGCGGCGCCGACAGCGAGTCCTGTTCGAACGAGAAGGAGCTGCTGCCGGATGTTGTGCCCATTCTTTCCGTACCCAGTTCTCGAGTAGGAGATCGACTACATGCCACATGCCGAACTTACAAACAAATTAGATGCACAATGCTTGTAGGCCTACGAGTATAACACTTGCTTGTAGATTCGACGAATCTCGGGATTCTTGTGTAAATCACTTCTGCAACCAAGCCCCTGCTCGAATTTCGATCGTCCCGACAGACAGGCGGACCGCAAGGCGGGTGCAGGCGGCGGCCGGCTGCGGCCCCCGCCGGGATGTCGCGCTTCTCGAGGAAGGGCGGGATGCCCGACGGGCCCTCCTGGAGCGCGCACCTCGCCAGCGCCTGCGGGTCGGGTCGGGTGCTGCTGGAAGTGCCCCCCTGGCCCAGGGTGCCCCTGGGATTTCCAAGGAGGCCCCCACGGCCTCCCGAGCACCCCTCGTGGAGGCCCAGAGGGGCCCCAGGGGCTCCAAAACTGAGCGAAGAGCTGGAGGCACCTTGGGCCAGGGGCACCTTGAGCAACCCCCGATCAGCAGGGCGAGAAAGCCGTCACGATGCGGTCGCCACAAGATGCGTTCCAGGAGTTCCAGGAGTACGGCTGGTTCGCGCCGCGCTGTCGCGTGCGTTGGTGATCGTTAGAGCTTGATCGATCGCGGCTCTCCGATAGCGCATAGTTATCGCTCGGCATCGGCCGATTCCGGGCCACTGGCGGCGTTCAGCCTGGAACGCTCGCGCTGGGGTCGCCGCCGCGCCAACGCGGCGCAAGCCTACCTCTTCTAGCCAGCTTCATTTCTGCAACCCGTATGGAGCGTTAGGACATCTTGGAAGTCCCGGAAGGTATCATTCTCATGACCTCTCGCACCTCCGAGTCGGGGCCCAGGCCCCTGGCGACCCGAGGAAGTCACGCCCGCTGTCACAGCTCGGGGATCTACTGACCCGGGTCCATCCAGACCCGGGTCAGTCAGGCCTTGCAGGCCCCCGAAAAGTCCCGTAGGATCCTGGAGGATCCTGTCCCCAAGCCTGTGTCAAGGACCTCCTGGCTCTGCAGGATCCTGCAAGATCTGGCGCTCCGACGGACCCCGGCCTGCATGGACCCCGTCTCCGGAGCCCCGAGCAGTGCTCCAAAGCCCGAAGGCCAGCACCGGGGCCTTTCATCGAGCCGTGGAGAGGAGCGCCACGTCCCCAGAAACGGGGGGGGGATTTCTAAAACCCTCTCGGTGACCTTGAAAGGGCCTCTTGGGGATGTGCTTGAAGCTACCAATCAAAGAAGGGAGGAGGGGGCAAGCATGCCGCCCTCTCCCCCTCGCAAGCAAGCGTTCGTGGGGCACTCTCGGGCGCTTCCGGGGCCGTCTGCAGTCCCTCCCACTTGGCGCTCGCTATCCCTGGGGGCGTAGTCTTGTCGTCCGGATACTGTTCAAAGTTCCTATTTTGGCTCTACGAGATCGTGCTAAAAAACGGAAGCCCAGAAAGTGGGAGTCGGGCAGGCGGCGTGATGATACCTCGGAACGTACCGAAGACGCAATCACAACGGAAATGCAAAGGGCAGGTGGACCCCGGGAGCCGATCCTGGACCCCAGAACGTACAGTCGAGGTGCTACCAGAAGGAACGCCAAAGAAGGAACGAAGGGGCTCTTCTGGCCACGACTAGCCTCTGCCGCGATGGGGTTCCCCGATATAGGCCTAAGGAACGGCCCAGAAAAGCAGGGCCCCTCCTGAGTCCACAGTGGTTCTTATTTGAGCTCCTCGACTACAACAACTGCGACCGAACGGAGAAAGAGCGTCGATCTTCATTCAAAACGAGGAGGCGAAGGGCAACAATAGGGGGGACTGGCACAGGGGCAAACATCGACCTGGAATCGGCGATAGATCGCCGATAGATCGGAGATAGGCTCCCGGTAGCTAATCCGCACGCTCATGGCCGAGGTGGGAATATGAGACGGCGATCAACGAGCGATTGGCGGTCGATGCATGCCTATCCCCCCTATCGTTGCCCATGGGGGGGGGAGAACGCCCTCAGCGTTTTCAAAACTATCTAAGGCTGAGAGCTCCAGAGGCCAGATGCCCGAACAAACAAACGAGTCGCCGGAGATCCTGGAGGAGGGCAAGGGTAGACAAGGAAGGGAGGCGGAGAGGGCGAGAAGGGAGGCGGGAGAAGTAGGGGTGGGTTGGGGGGAGCATCGTGGGTTCTGAGAGAAACGGGTCCTGGAACCTGGCCTCTCCCCCCGGGACCAGCTTTCATCTTTCGAGGGAGAAATCGACTTGAGAATTCATTTACCCCAAACTTGTTCTTCCCCATCGAATTTACAACAAATGCGTAGCATGCTTCGTGGATCTACGAGCATCCTACGAACGCTCCGTGGGGTACATGAGTTCTGTAGTCTACCGCCTACTTGAAGGGCCAGCGTTCATCCTGAGCCGCTTTTTGACGGCCCTGGGGGCCAGTGGAAGGCCCCTAGGAAGTCCCCGGGCGGCCAAGAAAGCACGGGAAGCTGGCTTCCCTAATTTGGGCCGGCCTGCTTCATGGCGAGCCCCGCGGCGGGGAGAGCGCCAGGCCTCTGTCCAGGCGCACGCCCCGTTTGAGAGAAGGCCGCACGGGGCCGTCCCGCGTGCACGAGAGCGCCTTGCAAGCATCGGGCCGCCTCGGGTCATCCGAACATCGGGAGCGAATCGGATCTGGCCGGGCGCCGTCGATACAGGAGCGGACCGATCAGATCGAGATGAGCCCTGGGGAGGGGCCAGGCCTCTGTCCAGGCGCGCGCCCCGCTCAGAGAGGAGCACCCGCGCGGGAAGTGGAACGCTCGACGCGGGCCGGGCCCAGGGAGGCGAGGAGCGCGGAGCGCGAGGCGTTGGGGCCCCGTGCGGGTGCCGCAGGTCCGGCCGAGGTCGGCGCCCCCGCCCCTCCCCCCCCTCCTGGCACGCCGACCGCGACGGCCTGCACGGAAACGACGGCCAGCGCTGCCCTGCACTTGGCGCCGATCCCGCTTGCTTCCCGGCGGGCCCCGCGGCCCGTGCGGGAGTGGCGCCCGGGCCGCCCCTCCGCGGGCCGGCCGCCCCGCGCGCCTCCAGCAGGAACTGGTCCACGTGGAACAGCAGGGGCAGGGCGCGCCGCAGCGCGAAGATGAGCTCCGCGGTGAAGGCGTCTGCGGGAAGCTCGTGTCGTGACGACCCGGGCGTTGGGCTCTGACGCCGCGTGGATCGCTCCGTCTTGACCGATCCATCGGCGACCTTTCGATCGCCCGATCGTTCCACATTGGCCGACTCTGGATCACTGGCGGCGTTCAGCCTTGAACGCCCGTGGCGGGGGTCGCCACCGCGTCGACACGGTACGAACCTGCCGTGCCCCAATGGGGGGGAGGGGAAGGCGGCGGTGCCAAGTTTTGCACTCGACCCTCGATGGTCCAGAGGGTTCGGACGCTCTTGGCCCTTGTTGGGCCTCCGGGACCATCCAGCATCTCACCCACCCACACCCTTACTTTTGCCTCCACCCACACCTCCCTTGGAGAAGGTTCGCAATAAGAAACCAGCGGATGGCTCAGGCGGGGTGGGTGCGAGAGGGGGGCGATCGCCGTCGTCGTCGTCGCCGTGTGAGAAAATGTAGAGAGAGAGAGGGAGATTATCTAGAAAGAGAAAGGAGAGAAAGAAAGAGAGAGAGAGAGAGAGAGACAGAGGGATGAAAAAGTGGGGAGGAATAGACAGAGAGAGAGTGGACGATAAAGATGAGAGAGAGAGATAAAGAGGGGTGGCGATATATATATATATATATATATAATAAGCATGAGTGCGTAGAAAGAGAAATGAATAACACTGAGAGAGAGGTAGTCTGCATTCACGTGTATATACCTGTATATATGTAGAGAGAGGGCAAACAAGGATTTATATAACTAACCTCCTGGGAGGAGGGGAGGGGTGAGAGGTCGAGGGGGGGATGGCTCGTCAGCAGCAAGTGGACTCGGTTAATTTCTCCACTCCTCCGTTCTTTGCACATTTCCCCTTCCCCTTTCCACCCTCTTCCCACCGGTTCATCCCCATCCCCCCGTTTGCTCCACTCCTCTTCCGTTCAAATCCCACTGCACTCACCTTCCATCGGATCCCCTCCCCACCTCATTCATCCCCGCCCTCCCCTTCCATTGTCCCCCCTTCCCCTCTCCAACCCACTCCCCTCCACTCCGGTTGGCCATCTTCCCCGTCACTTTCCTCATATATCTCCCCTCCCACTCCTCCCCGCCTTCCCCTCCTTTAACCGCCATTCTTTATCACCCCCCTCTCCCCCCCCACATCCCCTCCCCTCCCCCACCATCTCTTCCTCGCGCTTCTGTCCGGGGACGGGTGTAGGGAAAATCGGACTGGAATCGACCATACATCGGCGATGGATTGACGATGGGCTCTGGTAGAAAAGCAGCATGATCCCAGGCAGCGGGGTGGGGCACCCAAGTCTGGATCGGCGATGAACATGTTATCAAGGGTCGAGATTCCCCCCCGCGGCCCTCCCCCCCCGCGCTCCTAACCTTTCTCTTGGACGAACCTTGGATGCGAAAACCAGAAGTTTTGCAAGCCCGAGGTGTCGAGACGAAAGCCCGAAGCGTCGGGGGCGATCGAGGGGTGCCCGCCTCCATCCTCCGAAGGTCCTGACCTTGGCGGCGGCTCGCATGCTGACCCCAACCCGCTCGCCTGTGGCGGATCCGAACCTGGCGTCGCCGATGTACACGGCCCGCTCCTTCTCGTCGAAGTAGACCTGCCAATCACATCCGCAGGGGGCACCCATACGCCACCACCGCACTGCCTGGCCAGGACCATCCTAGGCCCATGGCGTGATGTGCACGCCCTCCAGACCGAGCTCATGTGGGTCTATACACCATCCTATGGCCCATGCTGGCCCTGGCCAGGCATGGTTTTGGTGTACACATGCCTCCTGCGCATCCTGACCTAACGCGAGTCAATGATCATATCGGGCTGGGCGAAAGGGGGGGATAGAAAAGGGGGGTTTTGAGAATTAGCTCACGTAACTGATTTTCCCGGCGCCTCCCGGCGCCGGAGGCGGCCATGTATCGAGGAATGGGCCCCTCGGTGGGGACAACACCAGCTACATGCAACAAATTTCGTAACCCCCCCTTTCCCTATCCCCCCCTTTCGTTCAGACCGATCATCAAGGCTGGGCAATTCCTGTTTTGACCGCAAGCGCGGCGCGGAAGCCGGGGTCAACCAGCGCGGGGCAACGCACTCCCGCCTGGAGCGGCACCAAGCCCTGGGTCGGGTGACCCAAGATCTTGTAGGACCATACGTTTGCTGTGACCCCAATTGTAGCCGACACCCATCTCCATCTCACCGGGCCTGCTGCTCCAGCTCGCTGCCGGTGATGACGCTCTTGTCGATCTTCCTCCTCTTCTTCTCCGAGCCGCCCTCAACGTCCAGGACCTCGTCGTCGTCCTCCTCCTCCTTCTTCTCCTCCTCTGGGGAACCGAAGGCACGAGAGCGGCGCCAATGCTCCGCACTATGTTTGGACTCCCCTTCATGCCCCCGCTCCACCGCGGTAAGGTGCAACGATTTTTGTTCGACTCGAACACGCTGTGCACCATATCATGTCTGGGTCGAGGATCGGCGACGTCTCGGGAGACGCCAGCACGGTACGGTGCACAGAGGTCGTCCGAGGAGAGGGAGAGGGGAGACGAGCACCACAGCGACGACGGCGGCGCCAGGGGAGCGGGGCCCCGCGCGGCAGGCGCGGCCCCCGGCTTCTGGGACGCGGAGGGACGGAAGGACCAGCAGGAGCCAGCGTTTTCGGAGTGGGAGGTCGACTACAAGATTGATGGACACGCGTCCAGGCGGGACCTCGCTGCTCGCTGGGGGACTGCGGACTGCGCAGCCTTCGCCACTTTCGTGGGCCTCTGGGAGGCACGGCGAAGTCGGGGAGTACGCGGATCCAGGCGGGACCTCGCAGCTCCCTGGGTGGCTGCGAACTGTGCAACTGGCGCCACTGTCGTGGGCTCTGGGGAGGGCCAGCGGAATCGGAGACCACGCGCACCCAGCCGAAACCTCGCCGCTCCCTGGGTGGCTGGGACCTGCACAATTGTCATATGTTTCGTGGGCTCCTGGGAGGTCCAGCGGAGTCGGGGGCCACGCGCACCCAAACAAGACCTTGCTGCTCCATGGGGGGTTGCGAACTGTGCAACTATCACCTGTTTCGTGGGCAACTGGGAGGAAACCCCATAGGGAGCCCCACCGAGGGTCCTGGTGGCGCAGTCCGCATGCGTCCGCGCCACCTACTTCGGCACATACGCACACGTTTCGTGGCCCCACACAGGGAGCCCCACCGAAATTCCCAGTGGCGCAGCGCATGCGTCCCATCCACCCATGTCGGCACACCTCTTGCACGTTTCGTGACCCCACAGGGAGCTCAACCGAAGGTCCCAGCGGCGCAGACCGCATGCGCCCACGCGACACAGGTCGACACACATGTTCACATGCTTCGTGGCCCCGTAAGAAACTCCACCGAAGGTCCCCCTTGCGCAGCCCGCATGCGTCCCAGCCACAGATGTCGGCATACCCTTTCACACGTTTCGTGGCCCCGTACGGAGCTCCACCGAAGGTCCCAACGGAGCGGATCGCATGCGTCCGCGCGACACAATTCGGCATACCCTTTCACATGCTTCGTGGCCGCATAGGGAATACCATCGAAGGTCCCACCAGCGCAGACCGCATGCGCCCCCGCCAATGATTTCGATACCGCTTGGGCGGCCGTCGCGCTTCCTCTTGAACCGTGCCATCCGCCTCGCAGCCCGCGCCTTCCGCGCCAGTTTCTTGCCCTCCTCGCCGCCGATGACCTCTGCCATCGTGGTCTCCCCCATGAAGTCGCCAGGGTCCCGGGCTGCGCCGCTCCTCCTCATCCATCCCTGGCCCCCCCCCTCTGTCTCGGCCCCCCTCGCCCCCCAATCAACCCGGGCGCCGGCCTCGCGGCCCGCGGCCGACGCCCACGGAGCTCGATTCCAGAGATCTCGACGCTAATCGCAAGGATGCGAATCCTGGGGATGGGGGGATGTCGAGCGCGACCCCCCCGCCCCCCCTTGGACTCGCGATTCGAATCTTACGGGGGGGGGCCCGCTCGAGACACTCCCCCATCCCTAAGATTCGCACCCCTAAGATTAGCATCGAGCCCTGCCGAGAGTTCGCCCGCACAGAGTGCGAGTTCAAGTTCGAGAGTGACTTTGATTGCGAGACCCCACGTCCTAAGGCCCCATGTTGTGAGGCAAGGCGAAGAAGATGTTCAAGATGCCAAAAAGTTGTGCACGCGCGACTTGTCGGGCGCGTGGAAGATGAGCTGCGTGGAGTGCGACTTGCTCAAGCCCTCCACGGTCTTGACGTAGAGGGCGCACTGCATCGCCTTCGAGTCGGCCTGGTCGCTCTCCTCAAGCTCCACGACACTGCCCTCGCCGCGGCCATGAACCATGAGGCTCGTGACGCGCATATCAAGGATCTCCCCGATGCGCCACAGCACCTGCATAGCGAAGATCGGCCGGACCCTGTGCACTGGCACATCCAGCATGGCCCACCTGAAGAAAGTGATGAGGCCCGGGGACTTTCCCTGAAACTTGGCCTGGTTCTTAGCAAAGAAAGACTTCGCACCTCGGTTTAAAGTAGACGACTGTCCGTTCGCGCTGAGGGTCGCGCACCCGTCGGTGCCGATGGTGGTCCTGGGACTCCTGCTTGAGCCCAGCACCAAGCCGCTGTTGGTCCGCTCGAGGAAAGATGTGAATGGAGCAAGAGTTACAGGACCTGGAACGTCGACTTCCGCGGGCAACCTGCCAAGAACATCTGCTGCGGCGTCCTTCTCAGTCTCATCCGCGAAGCCCCCTCCCTGCTCATTTGAGAAGGGCCACTGAACGAGGAGGTACAACAACGCTGTCACGCTGGCTGACTTCTCCCTCGACGCCCTGTTGTCGACCGTGTCGGGGGGGGGGGGCGAGCTCCACGTTCTTTCGAGCTGCGTTCCAGCTGGGGAACTGGCGGCCAACGAAGCCCTTGTTACACAACTTCCGATTGACCCCAATAGCTTTCATGACCGATGGCAAGCTGAAGAACGCGACGTTGCCGTCCCGCCTGAGTTGGTAGATCGAGATCTCCAGTTGGTCGAAAGCAGTTTGTTTTCCACGTCTTCACCTTCAACGTGAAACACAAGAAGCCCGCGAGCGTTTCGCCGAGAGTGCGGGCGATCTTCGCTTCACCTACCTTGGACTGCACTACGACCTCCTTGTCGGACCCCCGGATGAACATGAGGTTGCTTAGCGCGTCGGCGGCGTCGAGCTTCCTTCCACCAATGGTTGCCTTCGCCAACTCGGCGCCCCAACCGTCCGCGCCCATGACCCACTCCGACTCGGCGCGCGACAGCTCTGCCCTGTCGAGCGCGTCGAGCTGCCCGAGCTCGTGCACTATTGCCCCGGAGTTGACGTACACCTTGAGCTTATCGTCGAGGCTTCGCAAATCAGGCTTGCAATCAACATTGTCAGCTTCGGCGGGGGCGGGCGGGGGCTCCGCGGGGGGGGGTGAAGGAGGCGGGACTGGAACATCAGGAAGGAGGCCCGGCCCAGGTAAGATGGCGCCCTCCAAGGCCTCGAAAGCAGCCGCCTCTCCTGCAGGCGCAGCGGGCGCGGCGTCGCCTGGACCTGCTGCCGTGGAGAAGTGCATCGCGGGGGCGCCCCCGCCGCCCCCCGCCTGCTCGACGGCCGCTCGCGCCGTCTCGACTGGGACCATGGCGCCTTTGACGATCAAGGGGCCCCCTGAGGCCAAGCGGGCCATGGGCTCCGCCAGCACGTCGGGCTTGGAGCTGCACGGGCGGACGAGGAGGCGCAGTAGTTCTGCGCCATCACGCAAGGTTGGCGGCACCTCGTCTGCGACCATGCGGTCGCAGGAGCCGTGGCAGCCCACTGCAGGCGGTACCGGCATAATGCTCGAGATGATGGCTGGGGCCAAAACGACGAGTAGGAAGAGCGGGATGGGGGCTGTTCAGCAATGCCAGCGTTGACTGAACGCCTCCCTCCCCGCGCGAGCACGTCTCGGCGTCGCCCCCGTTGCGGCGCCGAGGTTGCGCTCGCCTCGGAGGCCCAGGACCCCCCCGCTCCGCTCGCAGGGGAGCCGGGCCGAACGGGGGCAGGATGCAGAAGGGTGGGGGCCCAGGCGACTGGTCGATCGGGGTCGACGCATGTTGTTGTTTTGTGTTGCTGTTGACGTTGCTGTTGTGTTGTTGTCGTTGTGTTGGTTATGTGCTGTTGTTCTCTGTCATCCTTGCCCCGTTCGCGCCCCTTTCTACTCGCGCCCCCCATTCCCCCCCCCTGCCCCTCCCCTGCCGACTGCGCCCGTCGACGACCCCCGAGATGCCGCCGATGCGGCGTCGATTCCTCGATGGAAAAATCGGCGCCGAATCGACGGCATCTTGGGGTCAGCTGCTCGCGCTCCTCAACCTCCACCCACTCCGCCCCGTCGCCCCCCCCCTCGTCGCCGGGGCGAGGGCGAGGTGAGCATCAGAAGGGCGATCTCGTTTTAACGACCCCATGAGTGCATTTCTTGCAAGAGAGCACGCGGGGGCGCCACTGCCCTAAGGGCGCCTCCGTCGGCGCCGACGGTCTCGAGCGCCCCCGCCCCGAAGCAACTGGCGCGCATGCGTGGAGAGAAGAACGCGCAACTGACGAGACCACGAAGCAGAGCAAGCGAGCTGGCGCCCCACCTTGGGCGCCTCTGCGCGATCAACGCGGGCCTTCTCCAGCGCCTCGTCGCGCTGGCGCTTGCAGCGGGTCTGCAGAGTCACCCACTCGGGCGCGTCCGCGATGGCGCCGAAGCCGTTCGCGGCCTCAGAGCGGTTGGCGGAGGCAGCGTCGAACAGACCCTGAAGATGATTGCCTTTCTTGTCCAAGCGGCACTTGCTAGGCCCCTGGCCAGCTGAGAAGTTCGCGCGGGCCTTCGACGGATTATTATCATTGATCAGCCAGTGGGCCTCGTCGATCGACGATGCGTTGGTGAGCGGGATCATGCGCGAGATAGTCACATGGCTCGGGACGGCGGCAACGCCCCCATTCGCATAGACGACGTTGTGCCAGCGCTCACCTTTGCACTCCAAGCCGCGCAACGGGACCGCAGCCCAGTCGACCGCGCCGCCCTTGGCAACGCTCTTCGCGAGCCAAAGCTCGACGTCGAATCCAACCTCGGCCAGGCGTAGCTTCGCGGAGCTCGCAAAGATGGCCAACTATGTCCCGCACTCCGTCGGCGCCTTGTCTTTCACCGCCACTTGGAAGACGATGCCGAAAACGTCTGGAACTGCACGCTTACCCTCGCCATCCATGGCGTCCAACTTAGACGACGTTGGGCCCCCGAACATTGCGCCCAGGATGGGCGCGAGCGCGGCCTTGTCCACCTTGCCGAACGCGGGCGCCCCCATTCTTCAGCGCGCCCTGGGGCGAAGTGTCAGCTGCCCCCTGCTCCTGCATGCGCTGCTCAACGCTGTTGCCCGCGAGGCCAACTTGCATGCTGTTCCAGACGTCGGGCGCCGTGTCAGGGAATTTGGTCACGTGGCCAATGCGATCCTGAAGACACAAACGGTTCCTTGTTCGCCTGTTCATCTCAGGCTGGTCATCCCCCACCTCGCGAACGCGCGGCGCGCCCTCGGCGAACGCGACCAGGGGGGCCCGCTTTCGCACCACCCTTGCGCAGGGGGCCCTTCCAGACAGACTCCGGCACAGGGTCGCGGTCTCCGAGGCGCGAACAACAGCGGTAAAGCGCGCCAGTCAAGACAACAACTAAAAAAGCTCGGCAGACGTTCTAGGCCACAGCGGGCGCGGATGACGTCTAGCGATGGCGACGGCGCGGATCAGGACAGCGAGAGCACATGCGACGATGAACTCGCTCGCGTAGACGGGCGCCCCCGAATAATCCACCCGCGCGCGCGCCGCGACCAGCCGAACGGCATGTTCATTGAAACGAGAGGGGTGGATTTGGCCGGGTGCAGGACAAGTCCTCTGACACAAGGCGGGGGGGTAGGCAGGTTCTCTGTGGCGGGGAAATGGCTATCCCCTCCCATCCCCCCAAGCGCCATTTCCCCCTCCGACTTCTGCCGCCATCCGCCCCGCGCGCACATTTGTCACTCGCGCGCTTTCCGATCCCGGGCGGCGAGGGGCGGGCTCGAGGAGCGGGGAAGGAGTTGGTAGGGCGTTTTTGTGTTTGGCCTAGGCACGGTGATAAATGTCTTCCAACAGCTGCAAGTAATGCACCATAAAACATGCATTACGCGCGGTTGATTGACAGGCGAAACGCCGCGCGCAACAGCGCGCCTTGAGAAGAGCGCGCGCGCAAGCAGGCAAGCACGAAAACAAGCATTGGCAATCGACGGCGCAAGGATGTATCCTTCAACTATGCGACTTGGCCTAGTGCGATCGCCCCGGACCATGACCTCTCGGAATCACCGCCAGGCCCACGTGAAACTGACCCCCGGGGGCGGGCGCAGCTGATCTCTGGGGCGGGGTGGAGCGTGGGCCGGGTGATTTAAAAAGCCAATGCTGCATGCCAGCGCGTGATTCAGCCCCGGCCTCCTTCCGCGCAGAGGCGAGCGATCGGCTGACAGCCGAGGAAAACTGATCGGGGGCATCATGATCAATCTGGGAATGAGCGGAGCACAGAGGCGAATCGAGCCCAGCACGCCACCAGCCAAGAACAATAATATCGTCTGACATCAGGAACTGACCGAATTGCTTAGTCAATCCCGATAGGACACTAGCTTGGGCACGGACCATCTGATCAGATTTACGAGTCACGCACAAGCGATACCCCCATATTTTTTGAATTGAGTGGGCCCAAAAGGCCAACCCAGGGGGCCGAAAAATTTGGCCACGGGCCCACGCCTCCCAGTGGAGGTGCGCCGACAAGCAGGAAAATCATCACGACCAAACGAGCGTTGGGAACTATCACAAGCACAAGCCCTGGACGCCTACAGGCTTTATTTCAATAGCTTTTGACCATCATAAGCGCGGCTGGGTAAGGCTGGGTGATTGGACATCAGCCACCTGAGACAGGAACGCTCCTTCCAATAATGAGGGGCATCAGGGGCGCTTCTGTCAGACGGTAACGATCAAGCAGTTCCATTGTATTTTCCAGCCTCGAACTTATCTTTATCCCTAAGATTGACACGCCAAAAGGCGATGACAATCTTATGGGTGCGCCCTCAAAAACTGAGGGAATCCCCAATATTGGCATCGTGATGAAGAGATGCCCAGCATAGGGATAGGGATACGTTCAGGCTGGTAATGTATGTCAGGGCCATCGCGTTATGGGAAACTGGCACATACACTGTTCAATTGCTTCGCGTTTCTATATGACCGACGAAGAGCAGTGGGTCTTGAAGGGGCTGGGAACAAATGTCTCGACAGAAACAAACGCTGCCACATCATCAGAGGCGGGCGCAGACTTGATCAAGGTACCACGTCCTTGAATACAAATAATCTCTGCACCCGAAGGCCGGATAGCTCTAGCTGTGGCCAGCTAAGCTTCAGGTCAGTCGTCGGCCCCATGAGCACCCACGGGATCGAGTGTATCCAAAAACTCCGGGGCAGCCCGAAGACGCTCAATACTCCTCCCGCAGACGCCAAGGTCAGCATCTGAATAGACCACTCCTACAGCTAGCACAGCTTTCTTGGCTTGAGCTTCAGGAAAAAACGATTATTTCCCGAGCCTGCGTCAATCAACCCTGAGTCGCAGGCCAAAAACTTCCGAAAACAAGTGTACTGGACGGGCACGCGTGAGCCGCCCGTCCACTACAATTGCTGTCGGAAGAGCTCAGCGCCGTCGCGGCACGTCTCCAGGCCGTGCGGCCCCGCCTCGTTCCCGCGGGAGCCTGGGACCCAAGCGGGCACGCTTGTGCCCGCTCTGCGGCGCGTGGAGGGCCAGAGCTGAGCACATCTGGCATTGGTGCCCGGCCGTGACGCTCGCGCGTCGCCGGTGTTCCCTGCCGCCGATGCCCCAGCGACCTGGCCCAGCCAGCGGCCGTCTTCAGCAGCCAGCTGGTTTCCACTACGTGTCGTCGCTCAGCAGGGCCACCCTCCTGAGCCCAGACGCGGCGCGACGGCTTGTCTGGGCCTTCGCGGCCACCAGCGCGCGACATCACGGACGACAGCGACGACGACGACGACGACGACGACGACGACGACGACGACGACGACGACCTGGACGACCCCGACGCGGACGACAGCCCTGCACCCCTTGGCGCACAGCCTGGCCCAGCTCGGCTGCCAGCTGGTCCTTGCCCGGACCTCGGGGCCCACCGAATCCGCCCTGTCCGGACTGCGCGGCGATTGCTGCCCCCCCCCTGGGGACGCGCTCTTCGGCGGTACCTGCCGCGCGGGCACGCGAGGAGCGCGGAGGCGGCGCCATGGTGCGACCAGCAGTGCCCCAGCGCCCTGCCGCGCCCAGCGATCTCCTGGGATGCCTCACAGGCGACAACAGCCCTGCAGAGCGAGTCGCCGAGGCCGAGGGCGACGGAAACGGTGGAACGACGCTCCCTCGGCGCCGCGCCGCTCCCCTAGGAGCTCTGCCCGACGGGTGGGGGCAAGCGGGCACGGACCCCCGCAGGGAGAGCGCGCCGTGCCCTCGGCACCACACCCTTCGTCGCGGCGATGTGGCTCACACCGCGTCTGGGCCAGAACGGCCCGTGGAGTACCAAACTTGCGCACCTGCGGCATGGGAAAAAACATTGTGGCGGCACGGCCGCCGAGGAGGAGGCACGAGGGAGGCACAGTCAGAAAAAGAAGCGCTTCAGGCGCGGCGCGGGCCCCCCCCCGCCTCCCCACCCCCGGGGCACCACACGCGGTCCCCCAGGCCTGGGCGGATCGCCGCGGCCACGGCCAGCTGGGCCGGACACTCACAAAGTCGCGCGTGCGCACGCCAGGGCACGCGCGGACCGAGGAGAGGAGGAGAGGAAGTGAAAGAGAGGAGAGGAAGGCGAGGAGAGGGAGGGAGGGCAGGAGAGGAGAGAGAGGAGAGGGAGGGAGGGAGAGGAGGAGAAGGAGGGAAGGAGAAGGATCACGACAAGGAGGGGGCCACTGAGGGAGAACGAGAACTGCCACATCCCTCGGTAACTGAGGTGGCGACAGCTCCCTCCCCCTCACCCCCCTTCGAGTCAGGCCCTCCGCGTCCCACCCCCCTCATAGCCTCATGCCTCCCTCTCCCATCCTCTCCCTCCCCTGCCATCACCTCCCTATCCTAACTGTTTGAAAGCTTTGACTGCTGAATCCTTCTTGCTGTCGTCCACCGTCTTCCAATACAGGGCGCTGCGCAGCTTGGTCTTCGTGGCCACGAACTTTATGGTGCGAAGGGCCGCGCTGACCTCCGCCAGGTCTGACTTGATCGACCTGTCCTCGGCCGTGTGCCTGGGGCAGCGCACACCAGCCCTCTGCTCCTACCGGAAATATGGTGGCTCCCCCTGCGCTCGTGGAGCACGTGCCCTCCTCCCCCCTGCCCTGAGAACGTGCGCCAGGAGCGCACAGCACGCTTGCTGCCGGAATCATCTCGGACACACATCCTTTGTCCGCCCCCCTCCCTTCATCGCGCCCCCCTCTCCGCCTCCGCGTCTCTCCGCGTCTCCCTCCGCCTCCGCTTGACCCACCTCCCTCTCTCCCTTTCAGCCCGCCAATTGATCCCATTCCCCCCTTTCCTCCCTCCCGTATCCGGGCCCCACATCACTCGGCAAAGACTCCTCTCCCCATCCTCTCTCCACCTCTATCCTCCGCTCCCCTACTCCCCTCTCCGCTTCCCTCCCACCCCTCCCTTCCCAACGACTCCCCTCTGGCCACCTGCTTTCCCATCCCCCTCCCACCTCTCCCCTCCTGCCCCTCTGTCCCCCTCCTCATTCTACACCTCTTCATCTCCCCGGCCGTTATCTTCGCCCCATCCCCTCCTCTCCATCCCACATAGTGATCATCCTCCGTCTTCGCCCTGCTCTCCCTTCCTCCCCCTCTCCTCCCCCCCTCCGGTCCTTTCCCTTCTACTTCCCCTCCTTCACCCCTCCGCGGTTGGCCGAGTCAGGAAGGCGCATGCGCCAATCCTGCGCCCAGGGTTGGCTTGGCTAGGTCGGTGCATGTGGGTGGGTGGCGGTATCCGACCCTCCCTATCTCCCCTGGAACCTCCAAAGCCCCCGAAACTTACCACAACAGCCGAGCTAGTATCCGAAAATCTCCGAGCCCTCCTTGGGTAGGGGCCTCTTCTCTCCAGCGCCTCCCTCCTGGTGTGCATTCTGACCAGCATTCTGAGGTGATTCCAGCAGCAGTGGCGACGATGGGTCTTCCGAGGCATCCGAAAGGCGGCACACAGCAGAACCCGCCATCGCCCCTCATAGCATCCCTCATTCTCGAAGGGGAGAGGGGGAGGATGAGGAAGAGGAGAAGCAGGAGTGAATGGGGAATTTGCAGGGTAGACAAGGAGGCAGAAGAGGGAGCATGGAGAGAAAGGGGGAGGATGAAGAGGAGGAGGAGGAGGAGGAGGAGGAGGAGGAGGAGGAGGAGGAGGAGGGAATTTGGAAACCAAACATCCATGGACCAACTATCCCCGATCTGCAAACATTGCATGCAAGTGGCTCTAGACTCTGAACCACTTAAGCTAGCCTTCTGAAATTTGGTACGTGCCGTCTGCGGATCATTCATAAGAGCCCAAATCGAGGACGAGTAGGAGAAGAAAGATGAGGCTCCTGCAACTCTCTGCTTCACAGATCCTGGCCGGGCCGATCTTGGGCCCCGTATCGGTGTATACGCCCCCCTGTCTTGGCCAGGGAGGCAGATACACTGATCATGTGCCCCGCATCGGCCCAGCTGGGATCGGTGAGGTGAATAGATGACGTCCCCCGACGCTTCCCCTTCTCCTCCCCCTCAGAAGCACCCATCCACCCCACCCCCTTTGACGGATCAATGCTCACGGCTGCCGAGAGCTCACATCCAGAGGAGGGGAATAAACAAGCCGAGGAGTAATAGGCTCGATCATTGAGGGTTTCTGCAGTTCGGAGCCTTCTTAGGCCTCCGAGGGCCTCCAGACTCCAGAGACAACAAGGAGGTATGAAGTGGGGGACTCGACGAACCCATGGTGTCCACAGTCCGCGGCCAAACTACGAGCGCGATGGCGGGGACGGCTGCTCCCAGGAGGCCGAGCGCGTCGTCGCCGTCGCGAGGCGCCCGGGCGGCGCCAGCGGGGGCCGCCTCGGAGGGCGCCCTCGCCCCGGGGCCGTCGCAAGGCACGCAAGGAGGCTTCTTGGAAGGTGCCAGCCCCATATCTACAGAGAAGGCCCGCGCCTTCTAAGAAGCAGGGGTGCTTCTACGAAGATCTCCCCCCTCTCCCTACCCCTCTCCACGCGTGGCGAATCACCCACATCAAAGATAATCTGGATCTGATTTCGGAAGCCATGTCTCGGTGAACTCACTTCCGCGAGCACTGCACGCCCGCACGGCGCTGTGTGACAACTCGTAGCCTGAAGCCACGCGCCATCGCGCGAGTCCCTCTCGGCATCCGGAGGATCAGGACGAACTTGGCCATGCACACTCTGGCTCCAAAAATCCTCGGCGCCCACCAGGCGGCCACGCCCGCCAGGCGCACCACGCCTGCGCTCGAGACTGTGGGGCCCTGTCTCCCGCGCGGGCGCTGCGAGGGCACCGCGGCTCAAGATGAGGACGAGGATGAGGATGAGGATGAGGTGATGATGATGCTGATGATGATGCTGAATATGACTCTGATGATGCTGGTTATGATGATGGTGGTGCTAATAATGATGAGGATGAGGACGTTGACTGGTGATGATGAGGAGGAGGAGGGTCATGCTGATGCTGATGCGGATGCTGATGCGGATGATGGTGATGGTAATAGTGATAGTAATGGTGATGGTGATGGTGGTGATGGTGGGTGATGTTGCTGCTGCTGATGATGAGGCTACTGATGATGATGAGGAGGAGGAGGATGAGGATGATGATGAGCATGAGGATGAGGATGACAACGACTACGACGACGATCATGATGCTGCTGATGCTGATGATGATGGCGATGATGAAGATGCTGATGATGCTAATGATGGTGATGGTGATGCTGATGCTGATGATGATGCTGATGCTGATGATGCTGATGCTGATGCTGATGCTGATGCTGCTGCTGCTGATGATGATGCTGCTGCTGCTGCTGCTGATGATGATGATGATGATGACGATGATGATGATGATGATGATGATGATGATGATGATGATGATGATGATGATGATGATGATGATGATGATGATGATGATGATGATGATCCCCCACCAGTGGCGCGAGCGTCAGCAGCGCTTCGCCCACCTTGCCGAGCAGCCCGCGCCTGGTCCAGGATCGGCGGCCGCCTCGCGCGAGCGAACCTGAGCGCAGCAAGCGGCGAGAAAACACCGAAGGCGCCACGACAGGCGGGCTGCCCGCCTATGGCCCCTGCCGCGTGAGGCCAGCAGGGCCCATGGCGGTCCCCCCCCCCGCACAGGCCCACGGGCAAGGCGGCCACGCACCCCCGCCCCCAGCGAAACGCTCGCCGCCGGCCGCACGGGGCCGACGGCCGCCAGTTGTCCGGGCGGCCCCAAGGCAGCGCGGACGCCCATGCGGGCCGCAGCGCGCGGCTCAACCTGCGGGCCTGAGCGTGGCGCGCCGCCGCCTCGACCGCCCACAGCAGCCAGGCCGCCGTCCATCTCGCAGCCGTGCTTCACAGCCGCAGGGCTCAGCCGGCTCAGCTTCCCCACCATGCACTCGGGGCCCTCCTGCGTCCCCCTCATCCCTTCGAGCGCCTCCGCCGTGGCCTCCTCGAGCGACGACGCCTCGAGGGCCTCGGCCTCTGCCTGCAGCCCGCCGCGCGCGTTCACGGCAGCCTGGGCGACCGGCCTGGCGTCTGGCGTGCGCCTCTTCTTCTTCTTCTTCTTCTTCTTCTTCTTCTTCTGCGGCTTCCGCACCTCACCGACCCGGCCGTGGGGCCCCGCGGCGTGCCGACGGTCATGCGCCTCACGGGTGGCCTGGAGAGCACCCTCCGAGACTTCCTGCACCTCGACACCGCTGACGACGCTCCGCCCGTCGGCACTGCCACAGCCTCCTCGAACTCCTTGGTCCCGCTCGGCACCTCGCCGCTGCTCTCGCCGTGCAGCGCCTTCGGTACCTCCTCCTGGTCTGCTCGCCCTCACCAGCCCCAGCGTGCAGCGCCTCGACGCTGCTCTCGACGTGCTGCCCTGTGCCTGCACCTCCACGGCCTTCTTTCGGTCCCCTCGGTCCCACTCGGCACCTCGACGCTGCTCTCGCCGTGCAGCGCCGTCGGCAGCTCCTCGGACTTCTCGAACTCCTCGCCGGCACCAGCGCTTGGCACCTCGACGCTGGTCCCTACGTGCTGCCCCGTCGGCCCCTCCACGGCCTTCTCAAACTCCTCGGTCCTGCTCGGCTCCTCAACGCTGCTCTCGCCAAGCTGAACCGTCGGCATCTCCATCTCATTCGGTATCTCGATCCTCTCGCCCCCGGCCTCAGGCCCGACGCCGAAGCAGCCCTCGAACTGCGCCTCCGCCGCCATCTCCGCCTCAAGGTCCCGTTCCTCGCACGTCGAGGCGAAGTCCACCGCCTCGAGGCCGTCGCCCTTCGGGAACTGGACGGGCTCCGTGCCACCCACAGGCGGCCCCGCCCCGCCCCTCGCATCCCGAATGACCGCCGTAGCCATCGCAACCGCAGCCTCCAGCGGGTCCGCCCCCGCGTCGGCTGCGGCCCTCACGGCCGCGCGGACGATCGCCGCCGCAAAGGGGGCGACGTCCTCCAAAGAAGGCTCCCGCACACGCCCGCCGCTCTGAGTACAGTGTGCGGAACGCTCGAGAGCACTCTCGAGCGCAGAACGGCTTGAGCCAAATGGCTACGGACATCATGATGGTGGTGATGATGGTGATGGTGATGGTGACGAGAAGGGAGGAGGGAGAGGAGGGGAGGGAGGAGGAGGAGGAGGAGGAGGACGTGGTGGAGGAGGAGGCGGAGGAGGAGAAGGAGGAGGAGGATGAGGAGGAGGAGGAGTCGTTCCCTGCCTCCCCCCTGCCTCCCCCCTTCCTCCCTCGACCTCCCCCCTGGCACTCTCGTCCCTTCTGCCTCAGCTCTCCTCGTTGCATGGCGCGTATTGCACAGTGCCATCTTACTTCTGTAGCTATGTTTGTCTGCGCCAGTGTTCTCGAGTAGCTCGCTGAAAGTACATCGTTCCATCTGCACGAAGAAGCACGAACTTTTAAAATATCGCCCGCTATCCTGTAGCACTGCCTGTTTCAATTGTCTGTAACACGTGCACATGTCCAACTTGCCTCACCAGCGAACTGCCGAATGGATCCGGGATCAGTTGTATCCATTCTGCATCCATCCGCCCCCCCCCAGAGAAACCTGGAAGCGGAGACGCGTCCGTGCATCGACCTTTGCTCGAGCAGCCGCCGCAGCTCTTTCGAGCTGTAATCTCGGCCTGGGCTGGTTTTGTCCACGTTCCCCTTGCCTGCTCACTTCCGTCTGGTCGCGGGAATAACGCGACCTGTGGGATACAAGGTGTGTGATTCGTCTTATGCTATTCAAACTATGGAGTGCGACCTGTGGGACCCATCTGGCCTCGTCGGGGGGAGGAAAGGCCGGCAGCGCGCAGCCCCGGCGCGCGCCTAATGACCGCGTGCAGTCCGCAAGCCAGCTCGTTGGACTGCACCATTTGCTCGACATTGTCCTGGCGCGGGTCCGATCCCTCACTCTTTCTCTTTTTCTCTCTCTCTCTCTCTCTCTCTCTCTTTCTACTCTCTCTCTCTCTCTCTCTTTCTCGTTTTTGTTGTTGTTGTTGTTTGTGGTGTTGATGTTGTTGAACATTATTTATTCTAAAGAATAATTATTGTTGGGACCCCTGGTGCGCGGCACCCTCGCCGCGCCTAGGCCGCAGCCACATTTTCATCACTTTCGTAAGGAAGTCTCAGGCAAAACGTGGGTGTCCGGATCCGGTTGTTTTGTTGTCCCCTGTTTTCCCTTGCAAAAAAATAAGCTAAAGTGGACATTTCTTGTTCTAACATAACCAAACTTCAAGAATCCCTTGCAAAAAAATAAGGTAAAGTGGACATTCGCGCGCGCAAGACGAAATCCTTCCAAAACCTTAGTTGTCGTAGCGATTTTAACATAAAAACATCAAAAACCAATGGTTTTTTCAAAAAAAAAAAATGTCAAAATTTCATCCCGCGCGCTCTTGCGGATTCGTAGGAAACCCAACACTTTTTAAACATTTCTGTCAAACGGGCTTTTGCGAGCAACTTTTTCACGTGCTTCGAACTTCTCCAACAACGGTTGCGCACCTGCCAGGGCCATCATCCCTGTCAAATAATACCATGCGGGACACATTCGTTTTTTCTTCGCGCGCGCACGCCGAAATCTTCAAAAACCATTGGGTTTCTTAGGAATTTTAGCACCGCGCAACATAAAATCATACGAATCGCACCGTAGGTCCTCGAAAAACATCTGTACGAATTTTCAAAATTTCTACCCGCGCGCGCTGTCCGAATCCTAAAAAATCAATGGTTTTTCAACATGTATGTTACATGAGCTCGCGCGAGCTACTTTCGCAAGCTCACTACCCATGCGCCAGTGTAGTACCCATGCGCCAGTGTAGTAGCCACGGTCGTCCGCAGGCCACGAAGTGAAGTGTCCGAACGTCATAGGGCGGGAAGCTGGGTGTGGGTGGTGGCGAAAAGTCGTTTGGAAATGTGGTAGAGCTTGAACCGGCCCCCCCACAAAGTGGGGGCATTGGCGTGCGTCGTATGAAAACCCTGGCACTGGTGAGAACGGAGTGCCCCCACGTGCTAATAATTGTTGTTGTTGTTGAACATTATTAATTCTAAAGAATAATTATTGTTGGGCCCCCTGGTGCACGCCCCCCCCCCCGCGCCTAGGCCGCAGCCACATTTTCATACTTTTCGTGAGGAAGTCTCAGGTAAAACGATGTCATCCAGATCCGGTTGTTTTGTTGACGCCCGCTTTCCCTGTCAAAAAACACTATAAAATGACATGTCTTGTTCTAACATAACCAAACTTCAAGAATCCTTTGCAAAAAATGACACGAAGTGCACACTCGCGCGCGCAAGATGAAATCCTTCCAAAACCTTAGTTTTCGTAGCGATTTTAACATAAAAACATGAAAAACCCAATGGTTTTTCAAAAAAAAGTTTCAAAACATCATCTTGCGCGCTCTTGCGGATTTCTGAGGAAACCCAATATTTTTTCAACATTTCTGTCAAACGGGCTCTTGCGAGCAACTTTTTCACGTGCTTCGAACTTCTGCAACAACGGTTGCGCGCATGCCAGGGCCATCATCCCTGTCAAATAATACCATATTGGACACATTCGTTTTTTCTTCGCGCGCGCACGCCGTCGTCGTCGGCCGCGGGGCCCTGAATAGTAGCCACGGTCGTCCGCATGCCACGAAGTGAAGTGTCCGAACGTCATAGGGCGGGAAGCTGGGTGTGGGTGGTGGCGAAGAGTCGTTTGGAAATTTGGTAGAGCTTGAACCGGCCCCCCCACAAAGTGGGGGTATTGCCCGCCTCCTATGAAAACCCTGGCACTGGTGAGAACGGAGTGTCCCCAGTCTTAAATGATTGTTGTTGTTGTTGTTGTTGTGTTTTATGTCTCTCTCTCTCTCTCTCTCTGTATGTATGGATACATTTGTAGGCATACTATCTATATATACGATTCATATACATACGGGCACTACCCCAGCCTGAGTCTTACCATAGTACCTCGTGTAGTTTCTTGATCCGCCCGCGTATGTGCACAACGACTATAAGTCTAGCTCTTTTGAGTCTTGCAATTCTGCTACCACGGGAGAGTCACGACGCACCGACAGAGGGTAACCACGGGACAACCGCGGGAACACCATGTGACAAGCCCAAAGCAATCACGAATCGACCATGACATGGCGAATGGCACCAGGGCGCACGACGAACGGGGCAAGCACATAATAATCGCAGAGCAACCAAGGAACAACCACAGGACAATGGCGGGACAACCTGAGAACGTGCGCGGGCACGCTGGACACCCCCAGGACAACCACGGGACATTCACGGGACAACGGCGGGATCACCCATGGGGAAACGCGACGAGGACGGAGGGGGGAAACAACGTGGCTGCGATGTGCCTTACCATATGGGACGATATCTCGCAGCTTCGCCTCTCCCGCACGAGCCGACATCGAAATCCGACTCCTGGTGGAGGCACCCCGCGTCTCCTCGATACCATCCCTTAGCACATGCCGATGTGCTGACCCGTACGTTGTCGTGTGCAATCCGATCTACTAGTTTGCTAGTCATGTGTGCACGACCCAAGGTGGTAGCACATGCTCCCTTCCATGATCGTACGCGCGGGGATAAATATCGACGTGCCAGGCGTTCGAAGCGGCGGGAATGGGGGAACACGAGGGTTTGCGGCCCTTCCAGGACCCCAAATCTGGCCGACATCGGAGGGTTCCGCCAAAACACCCACCACGGCATCTCCCAATTGATTGACATCGACCGAGATTTCGGCCAGAGCCCATGCGTTCAGTCATACGCGTTCCTGTCTACAGAATTGCGCTCCCAATGCAACCGCTTTCACGCCTTGCTGCAGACGCCAGCGGCAGAAGAGGCGGGAAATCAGGCCAGTGAACAAGACCGTCGAAGTCTGCTTTCACAAGGGACCCTAGCACGCAATACAGTAGAACCAGCCGAGGTGGAACGCAGCACACATGGGAGAGAGGTTTGTTGAGGGAGAACCGGGGGGAGGAGAAGGACGATGCCGCGAACTGTAAACATAATGAACAGCTGCTAATGCCTCCCTTCGTGCCTGAGACTTTCTGCCCCCTCATTCTCCCTGACCACGCGTGCTGTATCCAAGTCCTTGAAGGCGACGGCTTCAAGATTGTCAGCCTCCCCCTCGTCGTCGTCCTCCACCATGCGCCTCTCCTCGACCAGAGCAGTGAGCTGCTTCATACCGGCCTCAGCATCTGGCCAATGACAGACCCTGGCAACCACTTCTTTCTCGTCTGCCCAAACACCTTCAGCGCGTCCTGCTGCACACACGGCGCGCGTAAGCCCCAGCTCCGAGGTTGCGTGTCGAGGCAGTGTGCTCGCATGTCTGCCCTGATTGCCCCGTTTCTGTCCGAGGACGGGGGGGAAAACACAAGAAGGGGGAAGGAGGGAGGAGGATGAGAGGGCGAGGGAGAAGGGAGGAAGAGGAGGAGGGGGAGGAATATGAAGGATCGCGCGTATCTGCAGACAGATGTGTGCCAGTCACTGCGCCACCGCGCCCAGTGAAGCAGCTATTAATCCAATATGCTGCGAGTATATGAAGGCAGGATCGCTCTGGCGCCACCGCTGCGCGTGGGAGATTTTGGAGGCGAACGTTAGTAGGAATGCCACTCGCTTTCTGGAATTCTCCCTGCATAGTCATTCTCCGACCCCGGCCCTAGATGGGATGGGGCGGATGAGGAGAGGGGAGGAGGATTGATGCCACGCACGCCTGGCACGGGTCTGGGCATGGACTTCATTGCTCCTCCCCAGGGAGGCACTGCGTGGGCGCAGCCTGCCTCCACGAGGGCGGCCCCTTGGGGGCTCGTGCGCGAGCAAGGCCACGGACAACGCACACCTTGGGGGGGAGGAGGAGGAGGAGGAGGAGGAGGAGGAGGAGGAGGAGGAGGAGGAGGAGGAGGAGGAGTAGCGAGCGCATGAGGGGACGCGCCGAGTCGGGAATCGGGACAGAGAGCAACGAATGGGAAAAGGTGAGAACGCACAATCACTCACATACTGAAAAGGGGGAACACGAGAGGGCAAGCCCAACCAGATCCCCTCGCACGAGCCCGACGACGGGCCCATGCCGAAGATGCAGGCCAGGAGACTGGCCTGGGCTCGGGGCCGATCGAATCACCAGGCCCCGCGCAGAGAAATTAAAAACAAAACGAATTGAACCGAATTCAGGTAGCTAGGCCAAGCCACTCCACAGCGGGGTCAGAGACCAACATGCGCCGAGGGAGGGGGATGGGGTGCCTGCGGCCCTCGCTGGGGTGACGCCCTTCGGCGAAATTATTCCGCCTCCATTTCCTCTGAGGGTTCCCCTCAAAGGCTTTGGGGCCCTCGCATTCATTATAAAGCTGGGATCTGTGAGCACGCTCCGAAAAAAGGATCCGCAGCGCATGCATCCAACCACGTCGCCCGCACGGTAGAGCACGTGGCCTCGAGAGGCCCGAGGAGGGACCGTCCCCTCCGCGGGGAGAACCGTGCTGGGAGGGGCGGCGTTGGCCCTGGCGGTGGCCACCGCCAGGCGGGGGCGCTTCTCCGAGCCAGTCGGGGTATCCAGGGCGACCGTGGCTTCCCTGACGCGAGTCTGGGCTGGCGACTCAAGCTGTACTCTTGGCTTGACCCTACGGGGGGGTCGAATGAAAGCCTCCGCCTCCTCGCCCTCAGGCCTCCTAGTTTTACCCACAATCCTAACCCTCGGGCTCGGGTGGGGAGGAGGAGGAGGAGGAGGAGGAGGAGGAGGAGGAGGAGGAGGAGGAGGAAGGTCAGAGGACGAGGCAGGGGGGGAGGGAGGGTCCCCGCGCAGCACCTTCCTCCCAGGGCCGTCCTCGTCAAGTCCGCCTTCCAGGCCGACCAGGCATCCCAGGGGCCTCTTGAGAGCCTGTCGGGGGCCGCGGGGCGGGCTCCGCGGGGCCACCTCTGGGCAGGACTGGGGCACAGGGGCCTGAGGTTCCGAGGGGCGGTGCACTATACAAACCTCTATGGCCAGGCGCCTCCGTCCAGATGCAGTCCGCGCGAAGCGCTGACAGTGTTTACATTTCCAACCTCCAGCCAGCGCGGGCCTGACGTCGTGCAGGCGCTGGCTCATTGTCAGAACTGGCCGCTGTCGTCCTGGCCGACGTCGTTGCTGTTGTCTTCGACGCGGCTTGCGTGCAGGCGGCGGCTGGCGGTCCAGATTCCCAACCAATGTCATGGAGGGCCCAATCCAGCACGCCACCTGTCTGACAATGTTGAGCATGTTCGAGTGGAGCTGGCTGACTTCCGACGACAACGCATGCATAGCCAGCCCCCTCTTTGCTGCAACATATGCGTAGTCGTTACCCTTCTTGTCTGCGCTTATATCATCTTGAGTCTGGTGCGCCCGAACATATGATATCTCCAGCTGCGGGGACAATCCCCCATGATCCTGAATGGCCTGCCATAGCAATCTCCACAGATCGCAATTCGGCCTGCGCGGGTGTGTGCACTGTTCAGGCCCGCTCATGATGTCCTCCACGGTGCCCAGGCAGTCCGTACGAATATGCATCGGCAGCATCCCGTGCCGTAGGGCTTGAATGACCGCATATAATTCAGCTCGCGGTACAGATTGTTGGTGTCCTGGTAGAGGCCAATACGCAATCCCTCGTAGTGTCTGACCCGTCATCATCGCAATCCCCCAGCCTGCTCTGTTGGCCCCAGGCCAGGCTATGGGGGAAAACCCTGAACCATCCGTGTAGATTTCTCCCGTCAGCATGGTCATGTCGCCTCCATGTGCAAGCCCCCATGAGTCCACCATGGCTGGTGGCGGAACAGCGGGTAGGGCGCCCCTCGGCATCCGGCCCCTGGTGAACAAGAGGTCGTTGTGAGGTGAGGCTCGAGCGGCCTGGGTAATGTCAGCATCAACTGCAGCTTCTCTTTCTTGCTGGAGCAAAGGGCAGGACCAGAGACGGCGATGTACTGTTCCAGGGCAGTCCCTACAATTATTGGCACCAGTTGTCAGCAGCGTACCCATGTTTATGTAGTCGAGCTTGAGACCATTGTCCTCCAATGCTCGAGGTACGTAGTGCTGCTCGAGCCTGCTCTGACAAGTGCCACTTCTTGGCCAGCTCCTTCGGTGCCAGCAGCATCTTGAGCGGGCCCACCCAGTAGCCACATGGTCTCCTGATTGGCGGGTCATCCTCTGGCGCATGATCCTTCTGGCGACTCCAATCTTCAAACTTCACGTTGATAAAGTCCCGTCTTGCTAGAACTCTGAGCCATTCTGGGCTGTCAGTAGTGAGGTCCAGGCCTATCCCTGAGCACGTAGTCCATGTCGTCGCAGTCGTCACACGCCAGTTGATAGCATGAAGTGCCACCAAGACGGCCCCTGCTGGACCCGCAACGTTAGCGTGCTTCGGGGTAGAACCTAGTATCTGGCGCCGCTGCATGAAAGCCTTTTCCAGCACGTAGTTTGGCACCTTGGTGTCCTGAACGAGCATGGCCCACGTATAGAGGGGGCCAACTGTCGCCATCATCTCAGGGTGCTCAAAGAAACGCGGCTCGAGCTGAGCAGCCAGCCAGACTGAGGTGCCAGGAGGAGTGCGCCGCCAACCCACGCGAACCATACTGACCATCGACTTGATCAGCGCCTTGGTGGCGCCCACGATCTGGATGCCATACTGCATGGCGGGGGCAATACATGGCTGCGCCACCGCTCGCCCGATCTTGGCCAGTCCATTGAGCCTCCTGAATCGCGGGGGCCTCTCCTTCACCTTGCGCATCCTCTTGCGAATCGTTTCGGAGCTCAGCCTGTGTCCTCCTTTCGCTTCCATGCCGGGCACCTCCAGGGTTTTGAAAGGCCGAAAACCGTGACGATGGACCTGCTGGGTGACCTGCTGCGCAATGTCAAACTCTGAGGCCAACACTTTCGCCTTGTCCTGAGCAGTTGGAAGGTCAAGAGCCTTGAGAACTGCAGCGAGCCGCTGCAGTATACGCACCGTCTGGTAGACAATGTCATGCGACGTGGCAACCACCTGAATCGTGATGTCGTCTGCGTAGATGTCCAGTGAGTGGTGCACCTCGTCGGTATTAGCGAATGATTTCTCGAAGATGTCGAAAGGCAGCAGCATGACCAGCTGCAGCAGGAACATAGCAATCAAACAACCTGGGAGCACCCCCCTGCTCGCCTGGCACGAGTAGGAAAAGGAAGTGGTCCACTTGATTCTCCTCGAGGCGTAGTACATCGCCAGGCATAGCTGCAGGATCTGTGCTGGGAACCCGTAGTGCGCGGCCGCCTGCAGGACTCGACGCCAGCATACTCTGTCAAAGCACTTGCTGATGTCCACGAGTGTGGTGGTGGTGGCGGCCCTCTGCCTGTCATGGGTGTAGGCCTCAGCGTAAATCATGGTGCGCGCACCCACATCTAGTGTACATTTGTGGGTGCCCAGCGCGAAGTAGGGCCGAGTATTCTGTGAGATCCAAATCCGAACTTGCCCAAGCCTGAGCTTCGTGTAGATACGGTACGTCGCAGGCAGGAGAGCTAGTGGTCGAAACCCTCCCTGCGGCTTGGCCAGGAGCATGATGTGCACGTTGAGCATGACCGTCGGCCATCTCACCCATGCTTCCGCAGCCCAGTAAATATAAATCAGCATGGCAAGGGCTGCGTCCGACACCAGAGAGAGGGCTCGAGGTGGGAGTGCGTCAGCTCCCAGACCCGTGCGCAACCTGAATGCAGCTGCTGCCCTTCTCGTTTGTGCGATCGTCGGCACGGGCAGGGCTGCAGGAGGAAGGTGGCGAATCGCTGCCACAAGGTCAAGATCTTCATGATCAGCGAGTGGCCGCGGGAGGTCAGCTTCTTCTCGTCTCTCGCCCTCCCAGATCTTCCTCCAACTGTCCATCAGGCTGTCTGCAATCGCCTGCGGGTGCGACGACGTGGTCTTCCCCTGCTTGATCTGCGCATGAGCCCAGGGCTGCACTCTCGTGATCGAGTAGACTTGCGCAGGGCCCGTGACCATCGCATCTCGTGCCCAAGCCTTGAACTTGCGAAATCGATGCCAGCCTTCTTGCCTGTCGAGCTGGTCAACGTGCGCCATGATGATATTGGCGAAGGCCTGGAGGCACAAGAGGCACTGCAGGGGGGTCTGCTTGCAGGCCAGGTGGATGATGTTCCAGGCGTTGTCGAAGTATTGCTTGCCATCGGCCGCGTGGACGTCCTGCCTGTGTCCTGGGCGAAGCAGTCTGGCAAG